GTCTGGGCTAGTACAAGCAGCCGTACATACACATACACACGCATGCACGTCGTCATTATGAGCGAAATATTCTCAAGCACGACGTTAAACCCAATTTCACCTCACGTCACTTTACTGTAGTATATTCGTAGTGTTTCGCAGCACTGATGACTTCCTGAATGTGATATTATTCCTATTTCACAACATAACAGGTTCACACTAAAGGTTGAATTCAGATTTTAAAACAGTAATTTATCATTCAATGTGCACGTTTTTTATAATAATTTGTGAGAAATATAAAATAAAACCGTCCTTACAAATGATCTGCACCAATAATGACTGCAACCATAGACATCAACAAGATGATTGCTACCAGTGTTTCCCAACAGTGCTTTTGTAAATACTCAGCTACAGATATAAGTGAGTGAGTTCACTGACTTTGTATTTACGCCGCTTTTAGCAATATTCCAGCAATATCACGGCGGGGGACACCAGAAATGGGCTTCACACATTGTACCCATGTGGGGAATCGAATCCGGGTTTTCGGCGTGACGAGCGAACGCTTTAACCAGTAGGCTACCCCACCGCTCCGCTACAGACATAAATATTCTTTTGAAAATAATGAAGGATTCAGTGAAACACAATGAAATGAAATATAAAAAGAAAAATGAAATATCTGGCCTGAAGTACGACTACGGAAGGAAACTATCTAACAGTTGCCTTCGAACTACTTCTTTTACCCAAAGACTTAATTATAGATAGAACATCGGTGCAAAAAAATGCTCAGTCTTAAAACTGACTGACTGACTGAGTATGGTTTTACGCCGTTTTTAGCAATATTCCAGCAATATCACGGCGGGGGACACCAGAAATGGGCTTCACACATTGTACCCATGTGGGGAATCGAACCCGGGCCTTCGGCGTGAGGAGCGAACGCTGTTACCACTAGGCTACCCCACCGCCCCCTCAGTCTTAAAACCCTCAGAAACAAATTCCGTAATGTGTAAAGGAAAAAAATAGCTGTGGAAATTATATGAATGGATTAATGAAACTCAGTGATGACACCGGGTGTTTGCGACAAAGGTAAGCATGTCTTGCACTACCGGTAGCACCAGACATTCACAAAATTTTCCTAAAATGGAAGTATTTTTAGCCTAAAGCTTCACAGTGGCACTCTTCACATGCGACCGCGGCCTGTAGAGAAACCAGGCAATCAGGTGATCAATGCAAAGACAATCCAGTTAGATCATTTGTAATTAGGCCTGCTGTGTACACAGATTCAGATGCTAGTAAGTGAAGAAAAACGTTTATGTCACTTACAGGGTTCCTTGGTCAGGTACCATTGAGTTTATCATGTGACTTCTGAAAATATTGGTAAGTATATTGATTGGGCAGGGATTGCTAAACTAGTGAATATTATCATATTATGATTTTATTGTCGATATAAGTGAAGTATTCATTTCTGAAACCAGCTTAATTGTCATTTGTTACGAGCAAATGCTTCGTCAGTTTCTACAGTTGCTAATGTTTGTATAAATAAATGTATTCCTATAATTTCTGAAAGGGACTTTCGTTTTATAGAATTATATACATGTACTTCTCTTCAAAGTTTAGACTCACTTAAAACACTCACTATATGGTATGTATAGTATTATGGTTACATCGAAGATTGATTTCTCCACTAACTTGGGGGAACCAACTGCAAACTTTATGCAGATGAATTGCACGAGGATCGTGCATTAAATTGCCGAAAAGCATGTGCAAATATCGTGCATGTGAACAGCTGCGTTTTCATGTAAAGTTTTGGAAAGAATTTGCCAATTTTCACTGATTTTTATCATTTACTGAACTCATGACAATAATCTTTTCAACGTAACGAGTTTGTTTTACAATACATCAGTTCATGTGTAAACAGTACCTTTAAAAAGTATGGAATATTTTGCAAAATTTAGTTTGAACAGTTGCCTGACGCAAGTGGCTATATTTACATTTATATCTCTAAATGGGAGAAAACAAACAGGTAACAGTTTAGAGCAAATGTTAATAAAACATAAAGGTATGGCATCATCCGATCCGATGCCACGATGGTAACTTGTCGGATTTTAGATCGATGGTGAAACGTTTATTTCCTTTAGTATTGTCAGGTCCAGAGTTTTGAGTTTTGAGTGAGTTTGGTTTTACGCCGCACGCAGCACTATTCCAGCTCCCGGTATATGGCGTGTGAGGTCCAGAAACATATCACATATCAGTTTGGTACGTTAATTAAACCATGTCATTTTTAAACAAATATAATTACTAAATAAAAGCGCGTTTTTTTATTCTCATTTGAGTTAGCTGTTTATCACCGCGCGCATCAAGAAAAATGCCCGTGGTTTGGTTCTATCTGAAACTTTCCTTACGATTTTGCCACCATTTGAACTGAAAATTTCGGTACTTTTTCTGTAAACTAAAACATTCTTTTGTTAAAAATGATTCATTCGACATTTTGGTGGTCTGTTCGTAGTGAGGTGTATTTTAGGATGATTTCCTGATTTTTTTGTTTCAAAACATGTAATGTAGGATATATAGTTTATCATATTTTGCATTAAATTAGAAACAATTTCCACTGCATTTAAAAAGGTGATTATGATAACATTGATTTTGTGCGAATTCAGTTGAAATACCGCTTTGTAAATATCGAATATCAGGTTGGGTGTTTGGTATGGCTTTCACCATCGATTTGAAATCAGACATGTTACCATCGTGGCATCGGATCGGATGGTGCCATACCCTTCTTGTTTTATTAACATTTGCTCTAAACTGTTGCCTGTTTATTTTCTCCCATTTAGGATAACATAATATAATTCTATAAAACGAAAGTCATTTTCAGAAATTATAGGGATACATCTATTTAAACCTTACCCACCAGATTGAAATCTGCGTAAGCAGAATGTAGCCCTTTGACATGTTTTAAATTACATATTCTCCTGAACACTTTTATTGACAATAGATAAGACAGATATTTGCAAACTGTCCCTCTGATATTGTTTGTGTACAATTACACATTCTCCAGAATACCTTTATTGACAATAAACACGACAATAAATATTATTATTAAGAAATATTGCGGTTCACACTTAGAACATGATTTACACGAAGCGGCCAGTGGTCCTGAAGACTTCGTAAAAACAGAATCAACTGAACCATTTACCGCAAATATTCACTTTGGAACGTACCCACCAAATATCCGATCTATAAGAGCAGTCGTCTTCCCTCTCACAATTGGTGAATACCTCCGCCAATATGAAATTGAATATAAATCTCCCTTGGGGTTAGACTGAATTCATTATTATTATTATTATCATTATTATTCTCAAAGGTGTTACATGTCAACATATGTGAAATACAGACCGGCTTTAAAAACACTACCGCGGTAATAGAATCGAGTCTTATCTAAAATTTCATCATAGTTGAATCACAACAAAGTTACTTAAACCCCTGTATAAGGAGCCACTACTGTGATTTCAACCCCTGATAGGATATGTTCGAGAGTTCAATCTGTGAATTGCTGGATTAACACAAATGAAAATGTGTTAACGAGCCAAAGACCCTTCAAGTGTAAGTTTCGGGATTTGTCAAAATAGCCCGACGATGTTGATATCTTGATCGTAGAATGATAAAGCATGCGGACGGGGTAGATTACCCTGTCTGACTCCCCCTACACGGGTACGGCCCGTGTACATCGACCCATGTTTCACTGCTACGTCCCCACCCCCTGCGCACCCGTGTATTTGATTCCTGTGAAAGGCCACCCCGAAGAGTAATAATCCTCTTGAATGTCTTCATTGGAGGTAACGGAGTGTCTGTCCACATGTTTACTTGTGTGGGGAACAACATCGCCCTTCACGCGCAACGCATGCGCGCACGTGCGGACGTCGTCACGAGCTCGTCAAAGTGTGTAATTTGTCTTGAGAAGCATAAGAAAGGTATCATCTACAAAAAGCTTGGTGCAGTGACAGCTCTGTGATGTTGAAAGCCATCGACTCATTTCGTGGGGCTGTAAATTCAGCACCGTATTCCATATATGGCTTCTCAGACGACACGTTGCCAAGATGGCTTGTGTTCAGTTTCAAAGTGATTTCCTCGCGTTTTCTTGGATTCGTCCCATCAACCAATCAGAAGTGTCGTTTGTGGCTTCTCCAATCTCATTAGCCAATAAGCTGGTAATGAAAGCCTCCAGAGAACCCACAAGCTTTCCTCGCCGTAGATTGAGGAGGCACAAATAAAAAGATGGCGAAACCTTAGATCTGCACATGCGCGCTATAACCCTGCGGCGGACGGCGATAGCTTTTAAATCACTGTCGTCTCAATTTTCGATGTGTACCAGGTATTGATGACTGGCCGTCTTATTTAAACACCTCACTCAATTAAAAGATGGACTCATTTGCAAGACGTTACTTTGGCCGGTCAACACATCAAACCAAGGTAAGTGCCTGGTGCCAAATATGTTCGTCAAGTTAGTATTTCTTTGCTAAATCTGGTATCAAAAATCGCCTTTACTTTTTACTGCTATACCCATCTAGCTTAAACCTCAAACCCAAAACGTATTAAACGTAAATATACTGACATTTGACAAATTACTGTACACGAAACTCGCAATACACGAGCCTGAATTTAGAAATACAGTAAAGTATGTTTCAAATGTTAATAAAATATTTTCCATTCTTTTTGAACACTTGTATGGTGATATCAGATATCATAAAGTATAATGATCGAAAAGGAACTAAATTCCCATACTTCATTTTGTGCAGCAATTCAAAGCCTTTTTACAAATTGTGCTTAGAATTCTACGAAACAATAACTGTTATAACAGAGAGTGTCAACACAGAGAGGATTAAACAAGTAAAGTCATGCATGTACTTTATACATGGGTTTTCTTGTAACAAGAAAAGTTATATGTGTACGTTCTACGTTGTCAGTAGAATTCAAATGATTTCATATGGATATGTTTTAAAAACTTGAATATTTCTTTCAGAATTTCAATGGAACCGGCATATGTGACCACCTCTAACTATACCGATGTTTGGCGATCTAGTCCGAGCAGGCACTCGGTATCCCCCGAGTCCCCCCGATCATTTACGGAGTTGAACATGAACACCTTGTCCATGCCATCGTTTGAGTTCGACCAGTTCCCAAATGTGTTTTCGTTTTCTCCCTGTCCACCTGGATACAAGTAGGTACACCTATCGATACATTATCGATACCTCATCAATACTTCATCGATGTCTCATCTGTACTTTGTCATTTTCAGAAATACACAATTTAAGACTATTATTGAATAACATTACATATTTGTGAATATTTTCAATGGAATAAAAAAAGTAATTGCAATGAAGTAGATCAGCTGTGTGAAGTTTGAATATTGTGAAAAAGATGTAAAGTTCATAAAACATTGTCGAATAATGAAATTGTTTTAGTTACAATATATTGTATCTCAAAATGATTTATAACATTTAAATATAGTGCTTTGAGGTTCTTAATACTTGACCAAAGCGCTTAACTGCAATGTGCAGATTACCATTTAATATCTTGCATTTGAATTATGTGTTTCCTGAATCATATGAAATATTTTCTATTATGAATCATATGGAACATTTCTGTGAATTTAAGCAGTGCTATTTGTTCGGTGTCGGAAATTCCGTGCCGTCCCCGTTTATTAGCGTGCTTTCTACAATAACGTGGATCTTTTTCAAATGTCATTTAAAATATACTACAATTAATAGGTATAAATAATATAGTTAATTTAGAGATTTCATTAGACTATTTATATAATTATAAGCGCTGTTTATAGAGCGTCATTGTAAACTTACGGCACCAATTTTAGAAAGGTAGGGCATTGCTGGCGACTTTCAATTTCAGGGTTACTTTAAAAACATGCTTTGATCCTATCAAATTATTATTCTACCTTATGTGTCGAGCATTTGGAGAATTTATACCCAGGAACCACACCGATCAGGGTTAACATGTTCTTCAGTAAAACAATTTTGGCTTACCAACCAGATTCTCAGAACCTATGTGGTTGTGTCCAAAAACGGAACAGTCATATATTTTGTAAAATGTACAAGTGAATTTACTAAATAAATTTTAAGATTGTCATGAGACCCAGGTACAGAGAGAAATATACAAAGGTCAAAATAAGAATACGCTAAAATAATAACAAAATTATCAGGATCTCAGCAGGCGGCAGTTCATTCGTACCTAGTGGTAAATCACAACATGATTCCTTAAATATTTAACACAGTCAAGATGTGTCATTCAGTGTAGTATATTTATGTTATTTCTTATTTGAAATAGAATCAATGTGTTTGCTGAAACGGAGGTGGTGAGATGAGTCAACAAACATTCGTCATCCAAGTTATTACTAAAAGTCACGAATGTTGGTGTATTTGTTACAAAGTGTAGAACGATCTTTCCCTATTTTTATCAAACAATATTACTATTTCAACATTCGCTCTTATGAAGCATATTTGAATACGTTCTTCGTTATGAATTATCAGATAACAAGAAACCTTTAGGCCTGTAGGAAGGATTTTTACGGACAGACAATTTCTTTATTGCAAGATATGCGACGTTTCGGTGTAGACGCTAACACCGTTATCACGTCATTATTTGGTTGATAATTTTAACGGTGTTAACATCACCGCAATTTCGCATCTATTGCAAAAGAGAAGTTGTTTATCCATAAAAATTGTACCAGCTTCTAAATGCTACTTAAAGAAGAAACCTTTTACTGAAATAGTTCATGACATGTATGTATTGTTTGCATTGTGAGCACAATTATATGCCATACGAGAAAATAGAGGACGGCATCCAACCATCCCTGCATGCTTGGCTGTAGACACGGCCTCGGAAGTGCTATTCTCAACGCAAACAATTCTCCGAGGATATGTTTTCAAAATATTGTCGGTATAAATTCAGATGTTTATTATAACATAGAGCAATACTTTGTGAATATCCGCTTTTGATATAAATCCATTTGAAGAAGGTTTTTTGTGAACTAGTCATATTTGCTTAATGTCGTTTCGTTTATCAAATATCAATTATTCGTGTGAATTATGTAGTCACGATTATTAATGTATATATTGTCTGTAACTTGTAACTCGCGTTCGTAAAATGTGTACTTTATTGCTCAGAAAACAAAAACAAGAAGAGTAAATATTGAATAATTGTTTACACTTGATATCTATCACGATATAGCTCTCGAATTATATGTGTTTAATATGTTGGATTTTCTACTTAAAACCCGAAAACGTTCATTACACATATGCAACAGCTACCTGTTATATGTATAAATACATTGTGAGGCAAGTACTATATAGCAATTTAATAGCAATGAATTAAGTCTGAAAATTCACATTGTTGGTTATGTCCATACAATTGTATTATAACTGGCGTGGTATTTGAACAATGTATTCTATGTGTCATTAAAATGCAGTAATTCCCTTTTCCTCACACTATCCAACAAAATTATCTTTTTTTATTGTATTGTCATCAAGTATATTTCAATTGTGTAGCGTTCGAATGCATGTTTAATGTGCTCTAACTATGTGCGTTCCACCACCCGGCAGAGCAACTAGAGCTAAGCGCCAACCACGACACTGTTTTATCTCAAGACATGTTGAACACATCTCTCAGAGTTCCGCTCTTAAATGCCGATTCCAAAATAGTAGCGGGAAGTTTGTTAATTTCAGAAGATATGTACGTCTACTGATATATCAAATCCCGTCTAGCAACGTTGTAAATTCACAGAAACAAACTATCCATCAATTATTGACAAGAATCTAGGGATATGTCGTTAGTGTCCCACTATTAAAATACTATTGTTTATTATATACGTACATAATACAACAGGTAGTATCGTAATACTTTGTTATCTTATATCATTGCATGATATTAATAATATCAATGTAATAATCATGAAGATATACATGTTCCGTACTGTTGGATGTTATTGCTGTTGCTTGCAAGGGGAGGGGGTGGGGGTGGGAGGTGATAATGTTTTCACACGTTATAATGATATTTTTATATTTGTCATAATCATAGACATTTAAATGTGTTATAAAGTTATACTTATCAATATATATCAAAATAATAATTATAGTTGTTAAATTAGACAGGAACAAAATGAACTAGTTGAATATTACATACAAAAGCAGAACGTACATTACATTAGATGAAAGTACAACATGAACAATATTACATGCTGGATGCACAATGTTACATTACACAGTTACAAGACGCACAATATTACAATAGACATAATTAAAAAAATGTGTGACGTTAGACAGGTACAAAATATTACATTTTGCTGATGTAAAATGGTCAGTCTTACATTATACAGTTGCAATTGCAAGATGCACTATATTACATCAGATGGATGCAAAATGCACCGTATTCAATGAGACAGATGCGTATTACATAGGACAGATGCAAGAGACACAATGTTACATTGGACAGATGCAAGAGACACAATGTTATATTAGGCAGATGCAAGAGACCCAATGTTACATTAGACAGATGCAAGAGACCTAATGTTACATTAGACAGATGCAAGAGACCCAATGTTACATTAGGCAGATGCAAGAGACCCAATGTTACATTAGGCAGATGCAAGAGACCCAATGTTACATTAGACAGATGCAAGAGACCCAATGTTACATTAGGCAGATGCAAGAGACCCAATGTTACATTAGGCAGATGCAAGAGACCCAATGTTACATTTGGCAGATGCAAGAGACCCAATGTTACATTAGACCGAATATGAAACAAAACATGTACAAGCTGCGCGCTAGCTCTACCCGCGACGGGAACTAAACATAACAATTAGTTCAAAGCTCTGATACTGTCTATTAGGCGGATTCTGTCATGTTTATACAATAAACGTGAGCGACTAACAGCAACAGGTAACAATAGCATTTGTGAAGAGAAGTACACCAGTAATCGTTGATTATGGTACGTCTTTTGTAGACGATGTTTACCAACATAGTGCTGTACTGTATTCTCAGCCAGTGTTTACGTAGGGACTCGACACTTCCCGCGAGTGATTTAAGTGGTTCTCTATTGTACGATGGATGTATGTAACAAGCACTTCATTCACAAATCACAATGTTTAGTCAAATTCTTTGAGTATCTTTTCCCTCCGGGTGAATACTTCCTGAACTGTGGAGCATTACCCGAGCTTACGATGGGAAAGGGTTCTAGCATGCTGGGTTTGTTGAGCGCTTGTGCCGTGCGAGTAGATTGTTGTCAACTTGGTGGCCTGGCATGTGAATTGCTTACTTAATGTATATTCTTCAAACACTGCCGTGTGTACCGGTGTATCATATAGCATGTTGTTGAGGTGTCACTTTGAGATTTAATGACTGTCGTCTGCTGCCGTTAATTCTCGTCTGCTAAAAATTGACCTCCCTCCTTGCACTCCCGCGTTGTTGCAGCTGAGCTGAGCACGCCTGATTAGGTCCGGCTCATTTCGGCCAATTTGCCTCGCCCTGGTCAGTCTCTGGCGTGTTGTATTCATACGGTACGGATTTCACACCTTACTGCGTACGAGTTTGAATAAACATACGTAAATTTTAATTCTAAATATCAAGTGTTTTGAACTTGGATTTGCTTTCAGAGACCTGACGGTGTTTAAGGAGAAAGCCCCCCATGACATTGCAGATGCCTTGCTGTCCCTAAAGCACGCGGTCGTCCACCCTCAGTTCAGTGGTCAGTTGTCGCCGCTCTCGCCACCGCCGCCCATGTCGCACCTCGGACACAGCCAGATGATGAACCCGGGACCCCTGACCCATCAGAACCATCAGGGTCTTGGCTACCCCGTGAGCCATCAGGGACCTGTGTTCCATAACTCCTACCCAGCACCACCTCCGTCTCAGTACGCAAGTCAGTACCCGGATCCCGGGCCCAGTACTTCCGGCCAGCCGACGCCTCAAGCCAACGTCCACTTCCCGTCGATGAGCGTTAACGTTTCAATGAGCATGAACGTCGGGATGCCTCCGGGTCTCGGTAACACCCAATACAGCCCGGTACCCCCTCAACAGTGGCCCCCACAGCCACAGAGTCCCACCCTGGGGCAGTACCACCCGGGTCACCCCCACCCTCAGAGTCTACAGCCTCAGTACGGGGGTTACAACGCCCAACCCTACCCCCCAGCTTACAGCTTCACGTCAGACTTCCGGCCCATGGCTGACGGGAGGGGCGGTATCTATTACAAGCATGCAGAATCCTTCAAAGACGCCACGAGGTTTTGCACTATGGGTCACCTGAAACGGTCTAAGTTCCTGCCAGACAAAACTCCCCCTCCACCCCCGGGGATGGATCCTAACTCGCTGAAGACCAACATGTGCAGGATCTGCGGCAAGACATATGCACGGCCTAGTACCCTGAAAACCCACCTGAGAACTCACTCGGGGGAAAAACCATACAAATGTACAACATGTAACAAGTCATTCTCTCAGGCTGCAAACCTAACAGCACACATCAGAACACACAGTGGCGAGAAACCATTCCGATGTCCCATCTGTGATCGACGCTTCTCACAGAGCTCGTCTGTGACCACCCACATGCGGACCCACTCTGGCGAACGTCCCTACCGGTGTCGCCTGTGTAAGAAGGCATTTTCGGACAGTTCCACCTTGACCAAACACCTCCGGATACACAGTGGGGAGAAACCCTATCAGTGCAAGTTATGCCTTCTGAGGTTTTCCCAGTCAGGAAATCTCAACCGACATATGCGTGTGCATACAAACACCGGATGAATTCTCAAAGAACAGCGTGTTTACATTACATGTAGGTGCATTGGGGTGAAACTTTCAGGCATGTCCTCTCAGTATACGGGACAAACCTTTTTCACTGAAACAGCAACTCTTATTTATACGCGCATTCAAACTGTAATTAAAGTAATGAACGCTATGTGCATTGTGCAAATAACGCATGTTATAGATGCATTGGTTTGACGATACCTGGATCATTCAGCGACTTGACAAAGAACAATCTCGATTGCAACTACTGTTTGTCAGTGAAGTGAAGTTTGACACTCGGTGAACCCTGTTAATCCGGACTGCACTGTTCGAATAAAATTCCCTGGATTAAACAAACTCCGACAACCATTGGCGTCAGCAACAACAGTGGTCGTCACTGTCGAAGAACAACTGCAAATAGTTTCAACTGTTTTGTTTCTTTGTCTTTTAAATTAAAACGGAAAACAGAAGTTTAAGATAAGGTGAGCTATTGAAGTAAAGTTGTTCTAGATGCCACTGTACTATCTGTCATGCTCACTCCCAGGTCGTGCTGAAAGATGAGGGACATAGTCTATATGACGGCAACGAATCCCCCTATCTGCTGATGTGATGCGCACAGACGTTGAACATGACGTAGCTGTTGGTGTGTGTAGAAATTGCTGACATGGAATTACAATCCTTCATTAACACGACGTGTGTTTAGTCTGTGTGTCGTATTTAGCGGACTGAAAACCAGTTAGAATTTGTTCACACCAAATACAACTTTCTTGGAATACCAGCCATAACACAGCTAAGGCCATGGACATGCATACATACGTTTGTATGTGTTGTTTCGAAAACCAGCAGTGTATCATGTTGTCGGTTTTATCTTGTAAATGACAGTCTAAAACAGACAGGGATGAAGATGTTTTAATGATGGACAACTCGAATGAGGACTTAATTTACATATCAATATTCACACATCACATGGACATTTAATTTGGACGTTCATTCTGTGCTGAGAGTGTCGGTGACGTTAATCCCGGTTTCAAGTTGTCAGTAGGCCTCTGTATTTAGATATGGTGGTTTCTTGTGATTATTTTGTTGTGTGAACAAGCTAACAAAAGTGCTACAATATTCCTTGTTAGCATATCTGGATATACACAGTAAGTAAACAATAACGTATTTGTGTATCTTTCAAGTGATATGCATTATGTATGTTAATAATGACGAGCATTATGAATGTTAACAATGACGTACATTATGTATGTTAACATTGACTTGCATTATGTATGTTAACAATTACGTGCATTTTGTATATTAACACTACCGCGCAGTGTCTATATTAAAACTGTATGTTAACACACAGAATGTTAAAAAGGACGTGCATTTTCTATTTTAACAAAGAAGTGCATTTTGTATATGAACAAAGAAATGCATTGTGTATGTTAACATTGACATGCATTATATATGTTAACAATGACGTGCATTGTGTATATTAACACTACCGCGCAGTGTCTATGTTAAAACTGTCTTTGTTAACACACATAATGTTAAAAAGGGCATGCATTTTGTATGTTAACATTGAAATGCATTGTCTATGTTAACACTGACGTGCAGAATGTATCTTAATACTAGTACTTCTGTGCACTGTCTATCTTAACACTGACGTACATTGTGCATGTTTACATTACCGTCGTTAAGTATATTAACACTACTGTGCGCTACGTATGTTAACAATATCGCGCATGTGGAAGTTTACAATGAGAAGTGCTGCATTATATTTACTATAGTCGCCATGTTTAGTTTGTATATGTCTATGCCATTTAATGCAAGCATTCAGATAGTCTGTGTTATTCACCGACAGAGCTCAAACTAGTTCGTCTCGAAAATGCATTATATGAATTTTATAGATATGAAATAAACACATTTGAATAAAGTTAGATTCACCAAATTATGTTGTGTTGTAGTAACATAACTAACAGAATGTTCGGAACGCAAGGGAGCCGTTTAAAAGAGATCAGCTGTTTGTTGTTTTAGGAAGGTTGTATGTGTTGGTAAACGGCATTCTTATACAAACAAACAAACAAACAAACAAACACAATTGCGCTGATACCTACATGTTCTTATTGCTTAATCCCTGTTGATGTATATAAGTCCGCTGTGTGCTGTATGGTACTTTACTCTTGCTTGACAACGGTATAAGAAGCTATACCGAAACCTCGCACCATATATAATAAAGAAGGTTGTTATTCATAAAGAATCATACTTTCTTAAAACACAATTTCATCAAGAAAATACTTTGACAGAATAATTTGGCGCATCTTCAAAAAAATGTTTAAAAAAATTACAAAATTGTTTAACCGTGACAATAAATATATTGTGTATGAGAAAATATCTGTTCCTCTGTAAAAAGACAACAATTGTGTGTTTTGAAACATTCCCACTCACATTTAATATATCCCCACATTAAAAGGAAATTATGAATATTTAGCAAAACTATTGCAAACCAACAAACTTAGTAATATGTACAGTTATTATAGCACCAAATCAGACGGTGACATACACAGTAGCAACACCAGAATTGAATAAGCACGTGCAGTTGAAATGGTCTAATACAAAGAAAACGTGTAACTGAAAATTGGATTTGACCAACATGTCACAGAAGTTACCACAACGCTGCTGTGCCGAAAACATTTCTTCTTCTTCTTCTTCTATTATATAAATCAAAATAAAATATCGAATGCTTCTATGAATGATGAAAGAATGAGTGGATGAAACATACAGTAAACTTTTCGAAAAGTGAGTGTTTAGCAGGCTAATACCAAATATGTCGTGTGTTTTTGTGGAAATATTTCTTCCTGATAAATGGTATTCGATATATCAATCGAGTTGCATAACATGGTATGCCAGAACCTCTTCCATGACGCTACTATTTTCAACCCAATACCGGCAAATACAAAATAAATGGAAAATGGCCCTTTCTTGTGAACTAATAAGTTCATCTACAGTCGTGACCTCGTGACAACATTAATGTTGACAATCCGATGATATAAATATTTTATTTGACAAGCAAAGACATATTTTATAACAATACAGATACCTGAAATATCAATCAATCAAGATCTATACGGGAAAAGGGAAAAAAGAAAGAATACATCCAATCATGTTCGATGAAGGCTCAAGCTGAAATAAAAAACAAATGGCTTTTCGAAGGTAGTATTTTATTTGACTTTTTTAAGTTCAAAAACATTTCGCTAAAGTTTGTGAATTTATAATTAAATCCAATAATCAAATTCATTTTGCCATGCAGTACATAAATACCCCAGGTCGTAATAAATTATGGAGTTTTAGCTTCGTCGTCGAAACGCACCCTCACTAATCAGGTTGTTATAGTTACAGGCTGGAGGACGGACGGACAGTCACAAAACTAAATTTCGGTCTCACCTAGTATACAAATATATTATATTATATGCGGTGTGTGTGGTATAAATGTACAAGTAATTTTGTAGAATTCTTAGAGGCAAATAATAGACAAAGTAAAACAAGGAATTCTATATTATAGACTAAAATATCGGCTTCATAGTTTTAACACGAATACACATCCATGGATAATATAAAGGGTGTCCTGCCAGTTGTGAGACACATTAATTAATGGTTCAGTGCACATAGGTGGTGCTTCCACATCCGTACAATGAAGGTGGGATCAGCCCAGTTGTTGAAGAGTACCCACAGGAGTCATTGATGAGTAGATTAATGAAATAGATTATCAGAGATTCTATTTACACAGAAGAAATAGTTCATGAAATATTTTATTTATTCAGAAGAATATGTAATTATGATAACACATTTTTATTGACTATTATGAAGTTTGAAAGTCATATATATAAATATAAATCAATCATGAGAAGGTTGTTGAGTTAATTTAAGTGTTTTCCTGCGAAAATTTGAAGCGTTGTGTCTTGATGATATAATCGTGGACGGATTCAACTATTTTCTGATTTACACAAGGAGTAAATTCTTTGTTCCCGTTCAAAATGATACTGCAGAAAACGTAAGGTAGTATTTACAACAAAATATCAAATGATTTCAAATATCATTTGTGACCATTTCTAAATTATAAAAGAAGCTAAATTGTCGAAGATGAACATTCAGATCTGTGAACATGGGATAATTAATTACATTTCGTTTTAATGCAGATGTCTGCGCACTTACAATGCGTTTAATTTGCAACGTCTGTATCGATCCGCTTCCACTTTGGAGAAATCTCGCACCAAAACGTATGGATAAGTTCATATTTTCGCGAACACCTGGTATCATCACTATTTTGACAGTGGTTCATAAACGCATGTTCATGATGTGGTCGGACTTGTACTATCTTCATTTCTTTTAGCAGCGATTAAGTAAAGATTTGGAAAGGGTCTTGTCGCTTTTATTTACATGAAGACCTTCGTCAATAGACATATTCTTAACTTTTCCTGTGCAATTTCCGACCCGTTTGTGTGTTCATTTTCTGAGTGCAATAAATGTGAAAAACATGGAGATAATTCTCCCGTGTGTATTTTGAAATATATTTTTTTTATGCTATGTTGTGTTTTTTTCGTTTTACGCAAAGCGTTTTTTCGTATTTTGTATTTCATGTCATAAAATGACAGTATTTTGTAACAAAATAGACCAAATTAATTACAAACATGAACAACAAAATCTTTCAAATTATTAAGAAGTTTCCACTAAAACCAGTCTTTCTTCGATTCCGACTAAGTCTTAATCGTGTGTTCTTGACACTATCTACGTCATGCATATCACCTAGCGTGTTGGCTTCACGGGAGCCATCATGTGTTTTGATTAAAATTCGTACCTATTTTATTTGTCAGTTTGGATGAAACAGCTGCGGGATGTGGTGTGAAGTGCTTAAGAATAAATAGACGACATATATTTCGCATGGCCACATGCTGAGAAGGCGCCTTGCACACTGGAGTACAAATGTCATAATTACATTACAGTTATCGGAACTGCCTTAAAAGACTGCATTACTAAAA